ACACTTTAACTGTATTGGGAGATTCTCTAACTGACAACCATCGCTATGAGCTACGTGATGATACATCGTATCACCCATGCTGCCAGAACTATCATATACAGTGCCGGGGTATAGAACCTCTCAACTAAGTGAATCCACTAAGCAATAAGGATTCATCCACAAAGTATGATCCTTTACCCATGTTGGCAGACATAGTTTATGAGGATTTTGAGTTGTCTGAACTCATCCCCATATCGGTGTTCAAGTATAGAACATATTCTTTCTCTGATTTGAGATAATTGCTCAAACTATCCTCTTAATTTTAAAAGAGGTAACTGCTCTGAAATATCTCTAAACCCATTGCTCATTTAGAATACAAAGGTTTCTCTTTCTCAATGTAAAAAAGTGATACATTTGGGAATTATTAGTTCTCTTATACTCATGCTAAAATCTTGGTTAAAACTCTTTCTCAAACTCCTCTTTACTTTCTCAAAAGCTCAGTTTAAAACAATTATGATTTGTTTAAAAGATTCTGAATAAGAACTCCATGAATACATTGGAATAGTGTTCATGCTGATAAACAGATATGAACAATCAACTCAATAATCTCAATGCACAATATACAGCAATTCTATAATTAGGAAATATAATTTAAACAAAAAAAAGGAACCAGAAACTCGAGAACTCAAAACTCAACATCAACTCATCTCAAGAATACTCAAATCTAAGGATAGAACCTAGATTACTCTTTTACCGATTTGAAAGTAGACATAGGGTGTGAGGACTAACTAGTCCAACACTATGATAGCCTTACATACCTGGAACAACAAAGTTCTTGGCGAAATCGACGAAATTCAAAGAACGCTTGAAAATCCTAGCTTATTCTCTTCTTCGAACCTTGCTCTAAAGACTTGAAGTGTTAATGAACGTAAAAGAATTGATTAACACCTTCTAAGCCTTTAACTAGATGTAAAACGTCGTGTTTAGGCTTAGAATAGGGATTAAAACAACATAGCTTACGTACCAAACACATAGGGAAAAGACTAAAATGACCCTAACTTAAAATCTGATGAAATTACCTAAATGGAAGGCTTCACGGACCAGTTAGGGCTCTATGATTCATGAATCACTTCACCGGCGTTATAGTCATCCGTGAAACTTTGACTATCTGATAGGGCCTTACGAAAACGAGCATCACATTTTACTCCAAACTCAAAATAGAGTAAACTTTTTGGAGTTGGAAAGAGGACCCGTAGACCTTTAGTTTGATAGGCCATGGGCCACCTAATTTGTTATATGCTAAGAGATATGATCATTTGAAGTTGATCCAAGTAAAATATCATATTGAAACTCAATCGGTAAGAAAGCTTGCAACTCAACTTTGTGCCAAAGGATTCTAGTGACCTTAATTCATATCCAAAATCATTCCCTCATTTTAAAGAATTGACCTTAACTTAAAAGCTGACAGGTGACATGTAAGGACCCCTAAATGGGTCGTACAAGTCATTACGAGCCATCTAGGGTCCCGTCCATATGACTCAAATCCTGGAAGCCCTGGACGGTTGGGCTATCACCCCTAAATGGGTTCTGGACCCCTAAACGGGTCGCTTAGGGTTCCTTGAAGGGTCCACAGTCCATTTTGGGTTCATGGACATTTTCGTTAGCCTTCTTTATCCTTTCTCGAAGTATGAAGTTTTACACCCTTGATGCCCTACATACCTTGATTGAATCCCTAATCAATAATGAAGAAAGGAAACTTGAACCTGAAGAACCCTAGATTTTTCTTCTTCCTTGGTCTAGAGAGAGGATTTTGGAGAAAACTTTGGAGAGAATTTGGGAAATTAAGGGAATGAAGGTAGAGTGGGGAAGTTTTAGGACTTGAAAACCTTATTTAAGGCTTGGGATTACAGTCAAAATGATATAGCTTAGGCGTTAAGCACATAGGAAAATATCCAAATACTCTTAAAAATAACTGTCGGATTGATCCTATAGGTTGCGACCTACGGTCCGTAATTCCTATGGACCGTACTGGTGAACCGTAGACCAAGTGTTGTAGCCTGAAATTTCATCTAACTTTGATGAGTCCTTCCTACGGCCGGTAGGAATTCCTACAGTCAGTAGACCCAAATTGTAGAATTCAACTTTAACTCCAAAATTTCACCAAGTCGGGAAACTTTCTACGAGACCTTCCTACGATCCGTAGAACATTCAACGGACCGTCCTGGTCAACCGTCGAATGAGTTACTGGGACTTGATTTTCCAAAACGCAACTTGGGTACTGCAGTTCACTTCCTTCGGCCCGTAGGACTTTTTACGGTCCGTAGGTCGGACTCATAGACCACTAGTTCAGTCAATTTTCTGCATTTTTCTTTTCCTTTTAACTTTCCAACTTCTGAGGTGTCACATTATATCAATAACTATTTTTAAAAAAATAATTTCATATGTGAAATTAAATTTTTGCTCTTTTTGTTTGTAAGATCTAGGTATTACCTTTATATGAATTTAATTTGATTTCTTTACGTTCTAGTTTGATTTGTAATTTTATTTTGATGATCTTAAAAATTGATTTTATGTTCAAAATGACTTATTTTTAGTCCTTGTATTATTCATCATAGTTAATTTAAATATCATCAATGTACAGTAAAACCTCACTAAATTAATACTCAGTAAATTAATAATCGCTCTAAGATAATATTTTCTTCCGATCCCGACTTGGGCTAATGGGAAAAATCACTTATTTCAATAAGATAATATATTTTAAGAAGATCCCTATATAAATATATGGTCCCATTAATAGTAAAAAATAATAATTCTTTAAAAGTACAAATATATCTAAGACGATTTAGTGAAATGTAATTCTATTGTATTTTGCTTTTTTGTTAAACATTAAATCCAGTTGAAGTTCATCTTTAACTTTTCTTATTGCATCTAAAAGTTCTGGTGTTGTCTTTTCGAACTACACCATAATATTGTGAAGAGTTCTACATACGATAAGTGTTTTCTTACGTATACGACATAACTAGTTCTAAAGGTATTGTACTTCTAAGCTTTGGACCACCGAATATGTATCATTTTCACTTGGATAACTCAATAGGTTATTGACATCCATTTTAATACGCTAACTGAAATCATTAATCATGACGTCAAATTCACATATGACATTTTCACAAGTGGGTGGACTCATTCAAATTCTTTGAGATTTCATCCTCCAAATATATTTTTGTAGTGTCGAAAATAATTTATTGTTGTCTTTTGCTGAAAATTGTCATCCAAGCCGGGATTGCCAAATTCATAATATCCGAAACATTAATTTTTCCTGGATCGGTTTTATGTCCCACTTCATAGCCTTCTAATATCCTACGATAAAATATGTTCCGATAATACATTTTGAAAGTTTTTATTATCCGAGCATCATAAGGTTGAATCTCAAAACACTCTATAAATTGATAATTTTTAATTTATCGATTAAATAATACCTTTACAAAATAATAATATTTCACGGTCCCAACTATATTAATTTAGTGAGGTTTTACATTATAAAAAAAGCTCACCCATAAGTAAGTAGGAGCACACCTATTAGTATCTAAAATCATTACTTTTTAGAAATAATTCTTTTTGAATATTGACTTGGTATTGTACTTATCATTTAACAACAACAAAGAATACATAAATCAAGGAAAGAAGACTATAATTCTAATGAGAGTTCAATTTTTTAATCATATTAGCAAATACGGGAGAGGAAGACTCAAAATTTAGATTGATATTAACTATTTATTTCTATTTGGTTTTTGTTAAATAAAGATCTAACACTATTTTTTTTTAAAAGAGAGCTAAAATACTGACGAGGAAAAAGGTGGAATTTGAAAAAAAATGAAGGTGAGAAAGTGTGTAGCGATAAAATGGACCCCACTAAAACACTTGTCAAAAAGTTAATGGGATCTCTCACAACTATTGTTAGTTGTGCCTCAACTATATTAAAATATGTCTACTATTCATAATTATGATTCAAACTATAGCTATTTATTTAGGGAAAACTATATAAGCCATAAAATTCAAAATATTTACAAGTTCATACCCAAATCCAAAGTAATTCCTGAAATAGCAATTCTCTCATAAATAATTACAACCCATACCCCACCCCCACCCCCACCCCCACCCCCCATTCATTAAGGTTGATAATTTTCGCTTAAGTGATACTAAATCAGTATCATATATTGTACTGATATCATTAAGGCTGATAATTTCGCTTAACTGATATTAAATCAGTATCATATATTGTATTGATATCATTAAGGATGATAATTTCTCTTAATTGATACTAAATCAGTATATATATATATATTGTATTGGTATCATTAAGGTTTCTTGTTCAGAAGTTAGTCATTAGTCAATAAATGTATAAGAGTATATATATACTCTTATAGTATCATTGACTAATGTGTAATTCCTTAACAAGAAATTTTAATGATACCAATATATATATATATATATATATATATAATATCAATTAAGTGAAATTATCAGTCTAAATGATACCAATAGAATATGTGATATTGATTTAGTATCAGTTAAGCGAAATTAATTAAAGAATATATAGTGTAATTATTTAGTGAAATATGAATATAAATGAATATATATTAATAATTATTTTTCATTTACGAGGCATTTGCTTAGTTTCCCATTTATTTAACCAAAACAACCTTTTGGAAGGCACTAGAGAAATGGTTGGCGTGTGGATTCGGACTAGCATTTCGAATTTCACTCAACACGCTTAAGAAAAGCCATATACCCACCCACAAAGAAGCCAACCGGGTCGGCCCGTTACTGTTCTCCTTCCTGAATTTTCACTTAAATTCATTTAACCAAATTCAGTCTTCCTTGTTGAAGCAAATTTGCTGTTGAATCGTTGATATTGCTTCTACTCTAAATTGTAAATTGTAATCAACAGGTATTGCGACGTAGATATGGTCGTTCCCCTTAGTTGGTTCAGAAATTCATTCGCTTTTACTGATGATGAGTTTTTTGTTGATGGTTTAATTGCAGAATTTTCGCCTTTGTTTGTTGTATAAGCAAACATGTTTTCGCGGATGTTTGGGAAACCCAAGCAGGAAACTAATGCTCTTATGACTCTTGACAAATTAAACGAGGTCGACATCGTTAATTTATTTATCTATATTGATATTCCTTTGCTCTAATTATGATCTATATCTACGCATAATTCATTATATGCTGACCTGGGATTGCTTCCCTTAGCAAAGAAGAAGATTAGCTGTTGCTTTGTTTGACAAGCTAGGGATTTTCTGTGAGTTTATAATTGATACTGCTAAACTGATATATGGTTGGGTTCATCTTTTTTTCTAATTAATCCATTCATTAGTTGGGATTAAACTAGTTTCCGGGGTACGGATAACTTGCTTAGAATATGATTATTTTGTACTGCATAGATGTACAGAACTCATATAACTAAGTTCCCAAGGGGATGGCCCAGTGGTTGAGACATGGGAGTAACAATTTGGAGAGCCTAGATTTGGTTAGCAACAGCAATACTTAGTATTAGGCCGTCTACTACAGCATTGATAGGAAGAATTACCTCGAGAACCTGTGTTTGCGCTTGTGGGTGACTGCTGCATTAGTACAAGTGTGCGCACAAACTCTAACACCGCCGATATAAAAAAAGATCTCATGTAAGCGACCTTAATTCTTTAGGTTGAGGCTATTAATTGATTGATATTAAATTATCTTCAAAATCTAGTGTCAATGGCTTCCAATTTACCTGATAAAAACTATCCAGAATCAATTTACTATAATTGTCTCTTGCTTTTTAACTCGGTACATGGAATTGCCATTAGTGTGTCATGAGGATGTATATCTAAGAGGAAGCCTATCAGGGATGATATTCCTTCCTCTAGAGAATATTTTGAAGCAGTATTTAGCTATTGTGGGAAAAAGTATCTCTCTTTCTTTTCTTGCATCGCGAAGTTTGACTTCGCCAGCAAGTGGCACATAGTGATTTTCGTTTCTCCCACGCAGCACCATTCTCTGCTAGATTCCAGTTCAACCCTGCCTTGGAAAATACAATACAACCCCTTGGGCTCTGGTTGAAAGCCTCATTCCCTCCATCGATTGGTCCAACCTTTTCAATTGTTACATTTACTTCGTGTATATTCTTCTCCTTAGGACGTTTGACAATGTCGTTATGTGCTGCTCTCTTGCTAAATCATAGTTCGTCTTTTTTATAGTTGGTGCCTCAGGAAGAAATTTTATGAGGTTGACAATTTCTTTCCACATTCACTTTGGCATACTAGTTTTATTTATTTGGATGACATCATAGGATCACATTTATCACCAATAAAAATTGCTATGTTAGGTAAACCAGAAAGGTGATAGAAAGAAAAGTGATGGTAGAGGTCTGTGCTTATTGTGAAGTTGTATTTACTTGCTTGTTAAGACACATTCAGGGGGGAAAGAAAAAACCTGTCTTAGAATGGTAAAACATTATACAGGTCAAAGTGATTGAGGTGCTTAGGCTCTTTTGCCCTAGTTTATCCATGTTCCTCTTTTTTCAGCTTCGTGTATGATTTTCCTTTGCAAGCAGGTGTATGTATTTGAATATTTTGTTATACATTTGCTTAGACACTGGAGATGCTTGAGAAAAAGGAAAAGGTGCTTCAGAAGAAGGCCTCTACAGAGGTTGAGAAGGCCAAAGATTTTACAAGAGCAAAGAACAAAAGAGGTACGGGTGATCCTATTGTGTTTTCTTGGAATTTCTAAGTTTCTCGCTCTTATAGTGACTATCACTTTGTTTTGCCCCCTGTATCTTGCTATGTGATAAACAGTATAAAGACTTAAAGAGCATAGGAACTTCTCTTGATATTTCTTACCTTCATTTCAATTGAAGGGAATTTACATGATACGTGCAGCTAGCTTACATGAGTAATTGTCGTTTTATGATGCAGCTGCAATACAATGTTTGAAGAGGAAGAGGCTCTACGAACAGCAAATTGAGCAGCTTGGCAATTTCCAGCTTCGCATCCATGATCAGGTTTGCTAGTCAGTTATCAATTCTTTTGTTTAGTGTTGGATGAGATTCTTGTTGTGCACCTGTTCACATGTCGAACTTCAATTTCTAGATGATAATGCTAGAAGGCGCAAAAGCTACAACTGAAACTGTTGATGCTTTGCGAACTGGAGCTTCTGCAATGAAAGCAATGCAGAAAGCAACGTAAGTAACAAAGTCACTCTATATAGTTATCGTCAAATTACTGAAGCACATGTCTACTATTTTTTTTTCTATCATTTGTTCTTACTCTATACTTCGTTCATGTGATCTCTGGAGTATATTGGGTTATTATTGTTTCTTTTGTCTGATTACACAATGCATTCTATTTACAGAAATATTGATGATGTGGACAAGACAATGGATGAAATAAATGAACAGACAGAGAATATGAAGCAAATACAGGAGGCTTTGGCTACTCCAATTGGTGCAGCAGCTGATTTTGACGAGGTTCCCGATCTAATGCTAGATTATGCTTTCCCTATTAGCTCTATGGACTTCATTTGTTGGACAGTTTATATTTTATGCAAGAGTACTTTGTCACATAAAATGTGTATGTATTTCTGCTAGTTCTGACATGCTGTTGTTGCAGGATGAATTGGAGGCAGAACTTGAAGAACTGGAAGGTGCTGAATTAGAAGAGCAGCTGCTTCAACCAGCAACTACAGCTCCTGCTGCTCCAGTCCATGTTCCTGCAGGGAAGCAACCTGCTCGGCCCATTCCTCAGAAGCGTACAGCTGAAGAAGATGAACTTGCTGCTCTGCAAGCAGAGATGGCTCTTTGAGCTAGTCCGTCTTTTATTTTAACCGGTAACTATAACTACCAGCCCATCTGAAATTATGTATGTCTATGACTTTTAACTATTAACTTACTGATTGGTGAAATGTGAGCTCCTGTGTTTGAAAGATTCCACCAAAAGACGTGCAAACATTTTTTGATATGAATTGTTGGAGTCCTTACTTCCATTTGCATACAGCGTATCTAGTATTTACAATCATTTGGTCCCGATTACTTGGATGAAAGTGCTAGTATGCAATTGCTATGTATGGTCCTTTATTGGTTTGTGATCGTATTTGTTTTTCTGCAGGTATTATCACGGGTAGCTTACATATAGAGACTGGTTATATGCATGTAAACAACTACTGCAAATGCTTTCACATTTCTCGATATCTATGTGGGTTAATATATATAGGGCTGTGTACATATTGGTGTTGCAGAAAATGGTGAATTCTATGGACACCAGAATTTGTGGTTTATGTTCCTAAGTGAATTTTATGTTCACTACCGTCTTCTTTTTTTCTTTTCTTTTTTTTAAATTCACAATTTCCATAGTTATCTTGTACCATCTCGGAAGGATAATAATATAAAATGTATTGTCTGTTTCTGCAAATTGGTGATTGAATAATGTGTACCTTGGTATTTTTGTATCTTACTATCCTGTCATTGCTTGCAAATCCCTTGATATGTTTTGGATCCTTCCTTACTCATGTTGTACGCATGGGATGTCTTCGTCTGAATGTTAAATGGTTTTGCTTGCACCAACTGCGAGGGCTAGATCTGTGCCAAAGCATATTATATACTTCCATGCCAATGTAGATTTCATTCTTATGGTCCATTATGGCGTTTCTTTTTCTTTTTTTTTTTTTTTTTTTCTCCTTGTAGCATGGGAACTGAGCTACTGATTTATGGTACGAAAAGCTGAAATTTGGTAGTAGAGTGTATCGTAAGTGATTAATGTTTATCGGGAAAAGTGCAGTTGAATTTATATATATGAGATCAAGAATACGCGTCTTGGTTTAAATTGTCAAATTAGCAGTCAAATATATTCATGCATATAAGTAAAAAATGGGGAAAAGGCATAAATTTACTTCTGAAGTTGTCTCGAAAAGTTAGCTATACACTAATACTACTGGGGCGACCTGTTACATACATATAATACTCAAAAGTAAATTTAATTCCACCTTCAAACCTGATGTGGAAATAAAATTAAATACAAAATAAATAAGGTGTGTTCGAGTCAAAATAAAGTCAAATTTTCCCCACCCGTCTCCTTCACGCCACCCTACCTTTCTTCTCCTCCTTCATTTATCTTATCACAAACACTCTTTTTGTTATGGTTAATGAGAAAAATAATTTTTTCCATGGTAAATTTTCAAGAGAAAAAAAAAACAACATTGCGGAATAGAAATCCACTGCAAAGATTGGTGAAGTTGTTCAATTAATTAGGTTCACTGCTCGAAAAGAATTCCGACGAGACATCTAAAACTAGTCAATTCTTACTACTCCCATATCAAATTCATCAAGTCGAGCATTGATTATTCAATTTATAATTGTCTTTTTTGTTGAATGTTAGCATGTGAAATAAGAAAATTCCCAAATCTTTCTTTTTTTGTATAAAAAGTTTCTTGGTTTTGCACAAAATCTGATTTTTAAATGTATATTCATAGATCTTTCTTCTCTTTCAAAAAAAAATCATCTCTAGGTTTTCTTCAAAATCAATAATAGTAAATCGAGCACTAATCTTTGTAAATAAATATTGCAAATTTTCACCAATCTTCTCTTTGAGCTTGAATGAAATTTGTAATTGTGATAATGTACGAACCTTCTCGTATAAATTTTCATCGCTTAGTTGGGTATTAATAGTGTGTTGCCCTAAGGGCTTTCTAATTACATTCTTAGCATTTCATGTTGATATTGGCAGCATAACAATTAGTTTGGCATAGAAATTATGTGATTGCAACGCCTATAAACTACATAGCTTGCCTACAGGACTTTGGTCTATCATGCCGACTATAGAGGAAAAAAATTAGAGTTGTAGTTTTACCTTCGGATAAATAGCATCGTGACTGCATATTGAATTATGGTGGTGAGTTATTAGGTGTTTCACCTACTTTTTAGTGATCTTACCATTCGATATGATATACATATTGTTGTTTAGGTCGCATAGGAGGCCATCTTTACTTGTTAACAAATTAGAAGAATGCTTGATGCCTACATGTGACTATCTCACCAGTTGTTACTATTTGGTACTAAGCCTTTGAGTTATATACATATAAATGTCCCTTTATTTGTTTCCTAGTAAGGTCATTGGTAAACGTACCTTGCCTATGGGCTATACTTAGCTTATAAAAGATATCAAATGTCTAGAAAGACCATATTAAAGCCTATAGAGCTATATTGAAGTTTACTCACTTATGGACTTCCTTTATGTCTAAGTTGACATTACTGATCCTTAATAGAATTTTGTATGCTCGAGTTGTAGGTATAAGAGCCCAAAAGATTTAGATTCAAGTGCACGAGCCCATAAGACTCATATATAACTATAGGAGCCCAAAAGGCTCAAGATACAAATACAAGAATTATGTGTGCTCAAGATACAAATACAAGAGCTACGTGTGCTCAAGATACAGTAAAATTTAGAAAATATATGGTTAGTTTTTGTAACTGATATAGATATTCCTCGTTGGGATCTATATTCTATTATTAGCTACCCTATATTTTTGCAAGGCATAATAATTATTTATATAACTCGTTTATATCCACATTGCTTGCTTTCAGGTTATTTGATTGCTTGTTGTTGCCCTCAGGGCTAAGAATTTAACTTGTACCTTTCGGGCTATATGCTTATTGCCTAATGGACTATTAAGACATGTACAAATCTACACATTATACCTATTGCCTACGAGGCTACATTGATGCCTAAGGACCTATTGGAAGATAGTGATTGCCTTTGGGGCTGTATACAAATTTCCTAAGGGGCTATATATTGATGCCTTTGTAGCTATATAGAGATCACCTAAGGGGCTATACGCAGATTACCTAAGGTGCTTTTAGGGAATAACTATTTTCTTCAGCGTTATTCACGCAGTGTTCAATGGGCTATTGAGATGTAATGATTGCCTACAATGCTAGAGAATTACCATTGGGGTATATAGATTGAATTGTACCTACCGTACTTATGGGGGCTCAAGTAGGTTTGATTATTGTTGTTTGTACCTACCAAGCTTATGGGAACTCATGTAGGTTGTATTATTTGTTGTTTGTACATGTCGAGCTTATGGGGGGCATGTACGTTGTTGTTTGATTAGTCTTTGTTTGATAGATTAAGGAGCATGCCAGTATGCTCAACTTATTCTTGACTCTCTTACCTGATTGCTTTCAGTACATTATGATACCTGCAATTATTCTAATGCATTTTATGCTCGGTAAATCAGTTTGTACTGAAGTCCCATTGCCTGGAGGCGATTCATTCTTGCCTGCAGGTCTTGACATATATGTACAAAGTCTTCTCAGTAGAATACCGAGTAACAGTAGATTGGTCAGCTCCACTTCTTTCAGAGTTGTTAAATTTAGAGGCTTGCAAGCTTTGGGTGTATGAATATGCATTGTCAGTTGTGTTGGCCTTGTTGTTTTTCCCTTTTAACACACAACCTATTGACCATAATCGTACATGATTATATGTGTTTAGTTTTGTAACACCTCACAACTCTACTCTTAGAATCTAAACTGTTCATCCTAAGTATATAAACTTGAACCGAGTGATGTCCTACTTGTTCATGTATTTTAAGTTCCTTACCAAATGTAGAAAGAGTATCGGAAGTGATTTAGGGTCATTAGGGACCTCTAACAACAAGTCAAATTCAAAGCATTTATATCGGCTAAGTTTTCGCATGAGTCCATATAAGGGTCAACTTCAAATGACCATATCTCTTAGAATATGATAATTTACGTGACCCATAACCAATCAAATTAAAGATCTATGATTCCTCTTTCCAACTCCGCAAATTTTGCATCAATCTGAATTTTGAGGAAAAAGTTATGACTGATTTACTAGAGATGTTCTAGCCTGGCAGCATCTCCGTGATGGCTCCGCGTTACGGAGTGAATACAGACCTCACTATCCGCCGGAATAAAATCCCAAATTCCAGCTCTTTTTATTTATTTTTTAAGGATATTTTTATCCTAAAAACCATCAGGGAGTCATCTAAATAGCCCTAAACACTTAGAAATCAGTTTTTCATAATTAAATCCTCTTTTTCACTCCTAAAATTCTACGCTCAAGAACTTCAAGAAACATCAAGACTAGGGTTCAACTTTCAAGATTCTCCATCAAACTTCCCTACTAAGGTATGTAAGGCTTCAATGGGAGTATTCATTTCACTCTTATGCTTAAAGTATTCGATTCTCAATAATTTCACAAGATTATTAGAAGTAAAGCTATGGCATTTATGAAATTATGATATTTCCTCAACAAGCTATATTTTTTATTGTTTCACTCCGATTTTGAAACCTTATGGCTGATTTAGCATGATTTTTATGGACATTCAAACCCTTATGAATTTTAAGCATGAAAATAAGCATGATATGAATTACAACCTATATACATGTTATTTTAAGATATGACTTTTAAGCTTAGCCTCATATATGACTTATGATGATAAGTGGTTTCATACCTATGAGCATTTTATGAATATATGTTGTTTTGGAAGGACTATTTAGTACCGAGAGGATGCGGGTCTAGAAAATCCAAGTCACATAACTACGCGCCAACACAGGATTATGTTTCACCGCTTTATCAGTTGACCTTCTGGCCCTAAGAGGCTTAGATGAGTGGATCCACATAAATATGATATGGTCTAATACTAATGTAAGGTATAGGGTACCCCTCCCAACAGGGTTAGTTGTTGGACATCATGAGCTCACATAGTGTATGTCGGTTATCACAAACTCCCCAATTGTGCAAATTTCATGACATGTTTTAATTCTATATGGTTCATTTTAAGTATTGTCACGCTTCGAGCCTACACCCTGGACGTGGCCGGCACTCGACAACCATTGTTGGCCCCAAGCGAACCCTTGGCCTGACTTAACTCTTAGAGGAAGATTTACTCATGATAAAAGCACTTTAAAAAGTAAAATGTAACTCAAAGGATAACTTAGAATGTTTTATAAATAAACATTCAACTAGCCAAAGTGGCCACTCAAGTCTCAACATAACCGAATGAAATTGAAAAGACTCATGAACTAACAATATTTAACTATCTATGAAGCCTCTAATACTATGAGGGATGTTGGGGAAAGAACCTCGATCATCCTAACAAACTGAAATGGCAAAAGAATGATAAAATGGATCCTCCGGAAGCAAGGAGGCTCACCAACACTTAAAAGCTCAACTGGATCAATGAACCGCGGATGTTGATCCTGGTTACTTGTATCTGCATCACAAAGGAAGCAAGACAAATGACGTCAGTACATGGAATGTACGAGCATGTGAGGGGAATTCTAAAACAAGACATAAGCTTGAAGGGGAACTGAAGAAACCTACCTCGTCTCAACTCAACTCAACTCAACTTATTTCAATATAAAGCAATAATGAAGATGCAGTATAAAGAAAAGCTTTAACACATGTAGATAACAACTCAGTGTA